GGCCTATCTGCTCCTTTCTCACCTTTTTACTGTTAATATATTGGTAAAATTTTTTGGGGTTCTTTTTACTATCTGCAGCGATATGCTTTTCACACTCAGTTTTAGCTGCCCGGATTTCTAGTTTGCATTTTTTGTTACATTCTTTGTAGTTAAGGAACGCCAATGCCGACCCCTCCGTCTTATATTTTATAAATGCCGCTCTCTTGTCCTTGACGTGTTGTTTTACAGTTTTATTAAGCCATATTGGTTTAGTTTTTGATCTTTTATTTTTGCTTCCTAAAGGTATACACTTTGAAGTAGCAGTATGTACTGTGTTTTTAAAACAATCCCACATCTGGGCTGTGTTTAGGTTTTGAAATAAGTTTTCCCATTTTATTTCCCCCACTAGGTTGCGCAGCTTATCAAAGTTGGCCCTTCTGAAGTTTAGGGTTCTAGTCCTTCCAGTACACTTCCCTTTTCTGTGTTCAATATTAAAAGTAATCACATTGTGATCACTATTACCCAATGACTCCCCAATTACAATTACAATATCCTCAATTAACTCTGCATTATTAGTGACATTCAACCTCAAATACTATGTAACTATGTAACAGATTACACAGCGCTTTAGAAACACAGTACAATTACAATACAAAAGGATTAGATAAGGGGTAGCCAAACTCCAGCCCTCCAGCTGTGGAACTACAAATCCCTTGAGGCATTGCAAGATTCTCAGACATGACTCCCGGAGAGAGATGCATCATGGGATTTGTAGTTTCACCACAGCTGGAGGGCCAGAGTTTGGCTACCCCTGGATTAGAAGGACCCTGCCCATAAGAGTTTACAAGCTACAAGGAAGGCATGTGATACAGAAGGTAATACACATCAGGGATGAGCTGATGGAAGGAGTAGATGGAGGTGGAATATGATTCCCTGAAGGTGACTTTTCTGGGATCTCCTAAAGACAGATTAGGAGACAGCTGGATGAGTTATGGAAGGGAATTCCAGAGGATGGGAGAGGCTCTGGAGAAGTCCTGGAGGGACAACGGATATCTTCCTGGGCCCGGTAGAGGTGACAAGGGACAAAGGGTAAGAATTCAGAGGTAGGGAACATATTAAAAAAAAAAAAATTAAAAAAAAGGTACTGGGCGTGTTTTACCTTAATGCAGGGAATGCAGTAGTGTGAAGAACACCAAGCCTTAAGAACTAATTTAAACTTCCCAACCCCCCTGATTGTACCCCAATCCCTAAAACTAAACCAACATCCCCTGCGTCAAAAAGTAACAGCACCAAGAGGCAACGCTTAGAAGACAATGACATGTATATTAAAAAAAAAAAAAGAAGCTACAAATGATCTTTCCATGTGCATTTATCTAGAGGGAAATATAAAATACATGTGTGGCAGGTGATGTGGAAACATTGCATTCAGGTATCACATGCTTATCGTGAACAATCATTTTATCAAACCTCAACAATCCAATTACTTTGTAACAAAGTAAAGTAATTTAAAAAAAAACCTACGATCTGCCCGTATTGGTCAGGCAGATTGTACTTGCGATCATCGCAAGCCCGCCCCGCTGAGGGGAGGGCTTCCCATGACCGCAATGCTGAACGGGCAGTGTGCGCGCACCGGCCCGTTCGGCATTGGTCTCCCGAGCATGCCACAAACCAGCCGAAAATCTTAAGATTGTCGGCTGGTTTTCGAACATGCTCCTTAGACAAAAGGCGTGCGACCGTACAGTAAAAACGGTTGCACGCCTGCCACACACTTTGCAATTATCGTACAATCGCGGGATTGCCCGCGATGATCGCACAGTGTATGGACACCTTTAGTTTCATCCAATTAACAGCAATCATCATTCATATTCTAACTCAGATGAACAAACGGATTGAAAAATTGGAGGCAAGTGGCCAAACAGAGACCACTTGTGTGGGGGAAGGCATGCCGCCCAGTTCACTGATGTCACCGATTGCCTGGACGCAAGCCAGAGCATCCCGTTCAACACTTGGCAACTGTTGACGTCAGTGAGCTGGGCGGGACCCCAGACAGAGCGTCACAGGTTTCTAAGAGCTCTGAGCAACCTGGGACGCTGTGGCTGCCCCACCAGTACATGAGGGTCTAAAAGACTTGGTCAGATTTTAAAGGATTGCTCATCCCCCTGACCCTACTGAAGGGTGAAGGGCTGCGTGCAGGCCCTTTAGGACCTAGGGTCCCAGCAGCCTGTAGCACTGACACTTCGAGGGGCTGTAATGTCAGCCATCTCTAGCAATCTCATGCAACATATCCCGACTAACATTCTCCTGCAGCAGGTCTCCAAGTCTTCAACTGCACCTTGTCACCAGTCTCTGATCATCTGCAGCAGAGCATCACCAGTCTCTGGCAATCCAACATATCAACACATACACTTATTATGTACAACCCCGCTAAGGATGTCAGAATCCACTTTTAAGAGCCCCTATTAGGTCAAGAAAGCCGACCACCACTGGCTTTGCCCCTTATGCTACATCAGCTCTTCCCAAATCTGTGCTGAAGTCCTACTAACAGAGCACGCCTTGCAGGACACCTCAGAAAGGAGGCTGGATTCACACCACATTGATGTGCATGAATCTTTGATCACTCTTTATGCCTTTTTTTTTAATGAACTTTATTTGCAGTTACAAATCTCCAGAAGCAGGTGTCCTAGAAAAGGTGTTCCCCAGCATGTGACACTGTTATGGGGTACACCCCGGCCAATGTGTCAATTTCTGGCCACCGTGTCTAACAAGCTTGAGTCTTTTACATATACATTTTCACTGCATTCTTTTTATTATACGAGGTAAGTCTCCAGGTCTTTACTTGATCCTCCACACTGCACAGGCGTGGGACTCGCATGCAGAACATGATAGCAATTGGAAGTTGGACATAGATGGCTCAAATCATGGCTCCTGCTGAATCAGCCAAAACTGAAGCTGTGGATGGCCCTGTCAGCACCATAAGGAACCAAGGAGAAACCGATCAGCTGCAGTTACTGCTCCAGTATTCTGACAGCCACAGACACCAGCTGTCAGAATACAGAAGCCAGTAGGAGAAATGTCTCCATCCACAGCAATTTTGATATAATCCGGCATCCTGTGGTTAGGGACAGGTGATCATTCCTGGACGCAGACAGACGGCATCCGGGTACCAACGTCTGTCCATAACCGCAGGTAAATCAGTGGATGTTTAATGACATCCTAACTGCAGCTACCATCAGCTTATCATAGACTGAGCGCCCACGGCTATTCACAAACACAACTATCATACCGGCCGCAGGAATCCGCAGACACATGCTACCGGAATTTGCACACAGCCCTAGTCACAATATGAATGTGGACCTCAGGGTCCCATTAACCCACAAGAACGTCTTTGGCGCGTGCATGGGAACCCACACAAGCACAGGGAAGGCATACAAGCTCCATGCAGATAGTGTCCTGACCGGGATTCGAACCAGGGACCCCAATGGGGTTTTTTATCACATTAGAAAACGTGTCCCGGCATCTCGCACACTACAGCTTTAAAGGGACGCAGTAAGCCAAGCACTGGCCCCGCCCCTCTTCAGCCACTGGTCAGGGTGCCTGACAATCAGTCGCGCGCCTGATGCGATTGGCTGACTCGCGTCTCCATCACCACCTGGCAGCGCGAGGCCGGCGATGCAGCCCCCCCACACCCCATTAGGATGAACGTTCTCCTAACTAAGCGGCACCCGCGAACCGGAGCTACTATGGAGACCAGCGCCTCTCTCGACCGCGCCGTCCACCTCTCCACACACGGACACTCGTGACAACGTCATGGGTAGCAAGCAAACATGGTGGTGCTGATGTTACCTGCGCTGTCCAGGCCGGCGACACAGTCTACCTCTTCTCTGTCGCTTCTCCTTCTTTCCTGCCAGGATGTTACCCGTGACTCTTTTTTTCCTGCTACCCCCGTTACAAATAAATCGCCCAAAAAATTCCCTTCCCTACATCCAGCGCCTCCTTCTTTTTAACACTGCGCGGCA